AGTACTGTGATGTTGTTTCTTAATTCAACTTTCGACATGACGAAATGAGCAAGATTGCTTACATCAAAATGATGAACACAGTTGTCTGTTTAACAGGAAAGTGAGAGTGTCTACGCTTCTAACATGGAACACAATGTTATGTCCGCAGACATCAACGAATGCAGCTCTAACAGCACCCATCTGTGTAACGCTGATAGTGTCTGCAACAACCTGGAAGGCGGCTATGCTTGCGTCTGTGAGGATGGCTACAGGCTCGGATAATGACAAGCGAGCTTGTATCGGTAAGTCATTCAGTTAGTAAGTTAGTTAGTTGAAGTAGCACCGATGGTGGTAATAGTGGTAATAGTCGTAGTGATGGTAGTGGTGGTGGTAGTAGAGATAGTAGTAGTTTTAGTAGTAGTAGCAGCAGCAGCAGTGATTGTGGTGGTGGTAGTAATAGTAGCAGTAGTAGCAGCAGCAGTAGTGATTGTGGTGGTGGTAGTAGTGGTGGTAGTAGTGAAGTTGAAGTCGTGGTAGTAGTGGTTGTTGTAGTGGTAATAGTACTAGTGGTGGTAGTAATAGTACTAGCGGTGATAGTGAAGGTGGGGGTTATTGTAGTGGTGGTGGTAGTAGTAGCAGTAGCACTCAATGCCCGATGTGCCAATGATGTGGAAAGGGTCCATTTTACTTTTAATGAGATAAGTACTTACCCTTTTTGGCACCTCTATTTAAGGCGTTGCAAGCACACTTCGTAATTCCGAAATACCCAGTTTGATTAAAACTGCTGGTGATTCGACAACATACCACTTTGCGTTGATTTAGACGATTGTAATGAGCACGGAGGGGTCTAGGAGCAATGGCAAGCTATCGAACTTAAACATCGACTAGTAAGTACAACCAAACCACCAATTTTTTTTTTTTTTTTTTTTTTTTTTTTTTGTTAACGGAAAAACATCTGCGACGCAGACGAGCGGAAGACAAAGAAAGAGACGGAAAAAATGGTGTAGCATGTAGTAAAAACCTGTAAAAAAGATTAACAAATCCATCACCCAAGCCACCCGAGAAGCGCAAGACAAATACAGAAAAAACACCGACACTGGGTTACAATCTGTCATCAAGACGAAAAAAAAGAAAAATAATAATGTTGGTACTGCAACGTTGTGTAAAAGAACACTCAACTTTGGACTGCAGTATGTCCCCCACAGAACGTAAGTCTGCAGAATTGACACCTCAATGACGAGAATTCTGATGGACAAATTGCGGCGTCCAGTTCAAGGTCCTCTGACGGTTATGAAATAACTTAAAGTCCGGACCAGACAGCATTGCCTATGCCTCCTTATTTCGCAACGTGCAAGCGTTAGCGGGTACCGATTACGCTGAAAAGACAGTCGTGATATTTTCACTCTCGTCGCTTCGCTGTTGAGAGAATGCTTGAGCAGGTAAAAGTGAAGTACTAGTAACTAGTAGCTTTCAGCCGTTACAGTTTCTGCATGGGTAGCTTAAGCATGCAGCGAGCGTTCTCTTGGCGTAAACAGAGTGGCATTTGTGATAAATAGCAAACAATAATATTAAATAGTAAAATAATATATTTTTCCTGGGCAATGGAAAGTGTATACGGTGATTTCACATATATGAGAGCCTCAACACTGATAGTCAGCGACTTACCATACGCAACTATCTGTCTACCCTTTCTGTATTCTAACAGAGTGTGAGAAAAATGTAACATGGGGTGCAAACTGCACCAACGATTGCGCTTGCTCGGCCGGAACTTTAGATTGTAGCATCACGGAGGGGTGTATCTGCCTTCCCGGATATACCGGTGAGTGATTATAGCACAAGAGGTGTGTGTATGCTAACTGCATATTCTGGTGAGTGATTTTAGCACAAGAGAGATGTGTGTTAGCTATATATTTTGGAGTGTGATTGTAGCACAGAGGAGTGTGCGTTTTCTGCATATTCTGGTGTGTGATTGTAGCACAAGAGAGATATGTGTTAGCTAGATGTAATAATAAGTGATTGTAGCACAAGAGAAATGTGTGTTAGCTAGATGTATTAATGAGTGATTGTAGCACAAGAGAGATGTGTGTTAGCTGTATAAACTTGTAAGTGATTAAAGCACAAGAGATATGTGTGTTTGCTGTATCCTCTGGTGAATGATTATAGCACAAGAAAGATGTGTACTAGCTAGATGTATTGATGAGTGATTGTAGCACAAGAGAGATGTGTGTAAGCTTTGTGTGTGTGTATTAATCCTTAATACACTTGTGGGTTCCCATGATTGTTGACTGTCATTCGTGCAGTGAGATAAGCCCATTTAAGTGGACCTGAGACAAGAGGTTGTGTGTATGTTGGCTGAGTACACATGTGAGTGATTACAGCACAAGAAAGGGTGAGTGATTGTGGCACTACCAAATGACGTATGTGCCAATCTGAATACACAAGTGAGCGATTGTTGCACAACATACGTTTGTGAGAGAGAGAGAGAGAGAGAGAGAGAGAGAGAGAGAGAGAGAGAGTCTTCAAGGCTAAACTTTTAAGACAACATCGACTGCCGGGTCGCCCATTACCTCGCCGGTAGAAGACTTCGTCATTGGTCGGGACAGTATTTGGGTCAATCTCCTTTGATCGTACCAACACTGAAAAAGTCCTTTTCAGGACTACTTGGTGGCGAGCAATACTAAGCCATTTTATGTGGCGCAAATAACCTAGCCACAATTATAACCTAAAGCTGCCTCTTCGTGGATGCTGGTTGAATGTGACGATTTTGTTATAAGCAAAACAAGGATGGAAGGATTGTACTACAAGAGAGAGAGAGAGGTGTGCATGTTTTCTACTCTCTTGGAAGCACGTGCATGCCTTTCTTGTATTGCACTATTTGTCAAGGCTCCGAGACTCTTTTCGTCTGAAATTTATGAAGCCAATTTTCTACAAGAGTTTTGGGATGTGGTGATGATAATAGTGGCGGTGGTGGTGGTGGTTATGGTTGTGGTGATGGAATGGCAGGGATTGATACTGATGAATGAGGATGAAAATGGTGGGGATGGTGATGATGACGATTGCGATGTTGGTGGTGGTAAAGAGGATGCTAACGATGGTGATGGTGATGGAGGTGGTGGTGATGATGATGATGATGATGATGATAGTAGTAGTGGAGATGGTATTAGTGGTGGAGATGATAAAGATGATGATAATGGTAATGATGATAAGATGGTGATCACAGTGAGGGTCATAATGTGGGTAATAGTGGTGATAATGATCATAGTCGTGATAATTATCATAGTGGTGGTAATGATGATGGTGATGGAGGTAAGGATTTGAGTGTGTGTGTGATGATGACTTTGGCCAGACTCAAGTAAATTGCTTAAGATTAAACCAGCCGCCTGCCTATCCGCCATCTTGGGCCATTACTTATGCATATATACATGGTTAATGTATAGGTACCTTCTGTGATGAAGACGTAAACCAGTGTGAAAACAAAGAAGTGAGCTGTGACCCCCTAAAGCACGAGGTGTGTGCTAACCGCCAGGGCCCCGATTTCTGCGCCTGTCTGCCCGGTTACCGGAGAACCAACTCGTCCGGACCTTGTCTGGGTAAGAGCTTTTCATTTAAGGGCTATCCTCCGAATAACGGCCACATATTATGGCGGCCAAAAACAGGGCCTAGGTCACATGTAAATTGCGGACTTCCGGTGACTATACCGCCACCGCGTGGATTGAGGCTAAACTAGATGGCTGGGACTCACGAGCAAAGCTGCAGGATATGCCGAAGCTGCTGCTCGTGAGTCCCAACCATCTAGTTTAGCCCTAATCCACACACAACGGCGTGGGAGATACTCTCGGCGGTGGCGGTAGTCGCCGGAAGTGCGCAATTTAGGTCGCCAGAAGTGTGCAATTTACATGTGACTGAGGCCCTGTTAGGGTGTTTTTGTGGCCGCCATAATTTTTGGCCGTTATTCGGAGGATAGCAGATTTATTTATTGATATATGTAGTACTACACCTGCCATTTTTTAACCCTTCAGTTAATAATGCTTGTCATTGTGGCTTATCATAGTGAGAGTGCAAAGAGACAGATTATAAACAGGAATTTTTTCCAACATTAAGCCACCAGTGCCAAACATGGACCCTATCTAAAGCCCATGTAAGCAAAATCACCACCAGCGAGATGAGATGCCTGAGAAAAGCAGCCAACTTAACCATTCGAGATCGAGTGAATAATGACACTATTAGGCTAAATGTGGGAATGACACCTTACAGTTGTGAGTCATTCACTGAATGCACAATAAATCGGAGTTTTTGAAATGAAATTTCACAGAAAAATTCATAGAATACCATGGACAAAGAAGAAGAACAAACACGACACCTTACAATTGTGACACCCTACAAGATGTGAGCATTCATAGAATACCATGGACAAAGAAGAAGAACAAACACGACACCCTACAAGATGTGAGCATCAAGGAGAACTGGCTCCTGGTTCCTTGCCTCTCAGGCAGATCTACTCTGACTAAAAAGGAAGCTCCAAGTTAGTCGACTCTTACGACATGCTTGTTAGGGACACAGTGGGTCTATTCTTTTTTTCCCTACAATGGGCTGTCGGAACCTTCACGGGGAGATTCTTAATCCAACTTACAACATCAACATGCAACATCAACATACAACATCAACATACAACATCAACATTCAACATCAACATCCAACATCGACATTCAACATTCGTCTACACTCTTTATTTTGTTAGATAAATGTATACGCCCAGCGCGCCACCTCAGTTGGTTAAACCAGCTGTGCGGCGACCGGGTGACACACTCCTTGGGTTCCGAGTTCGCGCTCGAGGGTGGGCAGAAAAGCCACATATTTCCCAGATTTACGGTATCTGTCATGGAATCAAGGCTGAAGGTTGCGATATCCATAGTACTGAGCCAAATGGTTAGCAACTCATGGTTTATGAATGCTTAAAAAAGAAAAAGAAAAAGATAAATGTATGATTTTGATTTGTCATGTTTTTTCCCTCCACCCCTCAGATATTGACGAATGTGAGGACCCGTTGCTGAACACTTGCCAACAGACTTGCCACAACTTCCAAGGCGGCTACAACTGTTCCTGTCTGGCTGGCTTTGATCGCAACCCAACCTCTGGTACCTGCTCGGGTGAGTCAGTCTTCCTGGACTAGTTTGTCGTCTTCTCTGGGTTCACCAGCTGTACACTTAGGCAGAAAGTTGTGGTTGTTCGCCAGCTTCTGGAAATTGATCTTGTGTGATGCTGGTCGTATCAGCCACCGAGTGCCGATTGGTCAGTAAAATAAAGATCTAGTCCTGTATGCCAACACGCCTGACGGCATTGAAAAAGATCCTTCATTTACTTCTCTGTTTGTTTATGTGTGTGTGTAACTGTATTATTGTTATTGTTATTATTATTATTAATATTATTTAGTGTTGAATCATCATCATGTGCCCTGCCAACTGGCGTAGGCGCTCATGCGTCTCCACAGATCACGATCCCTGGTTGCCTGGAACAGCTCTCTTGATGATATCCCTCCATGCCATCATTTCAGCCCATCCAGCATCATCTCTCTTGGTCTGCCTCTACGATCTCCAGTGTCTCTCTTTTCATTGTGTGGCCAAAGAACAGTGTTAGTCTCTTTCTTATTGTTGTATATAGAGATCTTCTTACATTAGCTTCTTTCAAGCAATCGTTTTTAGTTACTCTGGCTGTCCAAGGTTTTTGTAACATTCATCTCAGAAACCACATCTCTGTTCTTCTTAATTTGTTCAGTGACATTCCAAGATGGCGCATAAATATAATAATGTATTTGAAAGTCTAGCCCCATTTACCTCACGCTCCAAAAAGACTTTAAATGGCTCTATAGTCATCAGTCCAGCCGCAAACTATTTTTCTTCCATGTGTAAACAGGTTGGAGAACACTGTATTAAAGTTTGCCCGCGGGAAAGCGCTTAAGACGTTTGACTTGTGTTCGAAGGTTAAAGGTTCGATTTTTAACTCGGTTCTCTGGCTTGCTAACGCGGTTGTTTCAAATATCAGAAGGGGGGGGGGGTGGTCGCTGGAGCTGTGAAGTTTGTACTGTATGGAATTTTATTAAAAGCCAAAAGTTCATCTGGGTAAATATTGGACATCACAGCATCAGGAAAAGTCCATGTCAGCTCCGCCAATCCTCCTCAACAACTGATGGTAAACGTTGCCACCTGGTTAACTACTCGTCGTGCCTTTCCCCTGCGTCGCCAGAGGTGCCCTTAGCCCGGAGTAACTCCCCGCTGCAATATTCTCACTACTACTAAGTAAGGTCCCTTTTCCAAGCCTTTAGGCGCATTGGGAATATATAGCTAGACCTATATTTTTTCGACCAATCGGCACTTGGTGGGTGATGTGGTCAGCATCACACAGGCCGCCTTTACTTTCTAGGAATGTACCTGGTACCCACTTAAGGCTGGGTCGACCTGAGAGCCAAGGTCATTTCTGGAGAGAAAAAAAAAAGTCTGGATCTGTCAGGACGCGAACCCACGACTTTTAGATCCGCAAGCAGGCGTCTAGCCACCTACGCCTGGCGACTCCCCTCGCCACTACTGGCTTTTCAGTATGGTTTGAGGTTTGAACCACGGATCAAACATCATGGCACACGGAGACCACTCAGCACCCTGAATTTTCAGTATTTCACACTTTAATTGTTGCCTCGTCGCAATCCATTGAGTGGACTGACTATCTCTAACAAACTTGCTGGGGACCAGTTGCTCTGTGAAAAACCGAACCACAGGAGAGAAAATTCAGCGATATTTAGTCAATGCTCCCTTCTTTAAAAAATTCAGAAAGCCTTGCCAATCTCTTACACGTACCCTGTCTCTCATGGTTTCCGAACCTCTGATGGTGATGATGATGATGATGATAGTAGTGATGGTGATGATGATGATGATGATAGTAGTGATGGTGATGATGATGATGATGATAGTAGTGATGGTGGTGATGATGATGATGATAGTAGTGATGGTGGTGATGATGATGATGATAGTAGTGATGGTGGTGATGATGATGATTTTGATAGTAGTGATGCTGATGGTGATGATGATGATGATGATGAGATTGATGATAAAGATGACAGTGATAATGTTGATTGTCATAACGATGGTGATGATGATGTTGATTTTGTTGGTCATAATGATGATGATGTTGGTGATGATAATGGTGATGACGATAATGATGAGACTGATGATAAAGATGGTAGTTATAATGAAGCTGATGAGATTGATGATGATGACGATGATGGAGTTTTAGAGCCTTCTAAAATTGTATAAAATGTTAAATATCTTCTATTTTCGCAGACATAGACGAGTGCGCCCTCAAGATAGACCGATGTCAGCAGGGACAGATCTGTCTGAACACGAATGGAACTCATTACTGCTCCCGTGAGTGTCTGCTTGAGTTTGCTTCTTCTTCTTCTTCTTCTTCTTCTTCTTCTTCTTCTTCTTCTTCTTCTTCTTCTTTTTTTTTTCTTCTTCTTCTTCTTCTTCTTTCTCTTCTTCTTCTTCTTCTTCTTTTTCTTCTTCTTCTTCTTCTTCTTCTTCTTCTTCTTCTTCTTCTTCCTTTTCTTCTTCTTCTTCTTCTTTCTTTTTCTTCTTCGTCTCCTTATTCTTCTTACTACTTACTCTTTCTTCTCCTCTATCTCTTCTAAGCAGTATAATTATTATTACAATTAATAATAATGGTATGGTCATCAACACGACTGGCAACAAAAAGAGCACTAAAATGAGCAGTGTTATACAGATAAAGCGGTAATGGAGCCAGAGATCGACCCGCATAACATAGACCGCAGAAATATTAGAGATACTGAAAAGTCCCTAATACGAAGCGAGCAGAAAGGCCGCTTCCAGAGATATCTTCCTGTCCTGACGCCGCGAGGCTTTCCAGGAGTAGAGAAAAGAAGAAAAAGACAATAATAGTGTGCTCCAGTGCCAAGTTGTGCACGTTAAAAATTCATTGGCACTTGCAAGTCGCAGGGAGTATACCCATGATTTCGATTTCCAACTGCTAAGAGATTTGTATTTAACGAGGAGACTGTTATATTAGGCCAGAGATTCTGTACCAGGAGATTGTTATATTAGGCCAGAGATTCTGTACCAGGACATTGTTATATTAGGCCAGAGATTCTGTACCAGGACATTGTTATATTAGGCCAGAGATTCTGTACCAGGACATTGTTATATTAGGCCAGAGATTTTGTACCAGGAGACTGTTATATTAGGCCAGAGATTCTGTACCAGGAGATTGTTATATTAGGCCAGAGATTCTGTACCAGGAGATTGTTATATTAGGCCAGAGATTCTGTACCAGGAGATTGTTATATTAGGCCAGAGATTCTGTACCAGGAGACTGTTATATTAGGCCAGAGATTCTGTACCAGGAGACTGTTATATTAGGCCAGAGATTCTGTACCAGGAGATTGTTATATTAGGCCAGAGATTCTGTACCAGGAGATTGTTATATTAGGCCAGAGATTCTGTACCAGGACATTGTTATATTAGGCCAGAGATTCTGTACCAGGAGACTGTTATATTAGGCCAGAGATTCTGTACCAGGAGACTGTTATATTAGGCCAGAGATTCTGTACCAGGAGATTGTTATATTAGGCCAGAGATTCTGTACCAGGAGATTGTTATATTAGGCCAGAGATTCTGTACCAGGAGACTGTTATATTAGGCCAGAGATTCTGTACTTTTGTTTGACTCTTTATCTAAATGTTATATAATCTGTTCTTGTTTTGTTATTCCTTCCACGCATTCAAAAACACAACTGCAGTCCCAGGTACACCTCAGGTTCCAACAGGTATGTACACTAGATAACAGGTATGTACACTAGATAACAGGTATGTACACTAGATAACAGGTATGTACACTAGATAACAGGTATGTACACTAGATAACAGGTATGTACACTAGATAACAGGTATGTACACTAGATAACAGGTATGTACACTAGATAACAGGTATGTACACTAGATAACAGGTATTAGAATAGACAACTGGTTAAAGAACAAACACTATGTATTACACTGTAATCCATATACACACTATACGGTAGGTATAAACAGCACGTATGTACACTATACGATAGAATGTACGCTATACGAAAGATGTGAGTAGTATACGATAAGTACGGACAATATACCATAAGTATGTGCACTATAGGTACTTACACTATAGCATACAATTACCCTATACAAAAAGTCTATGCACTATACTAACTATACAGTAGGTGTGTACAATATGCAAAAAAAATAATAAAGTAAAATAGGTGTGTACACTATTAAATAGGTGTGTACACACTACGTAAAGTATTACAAACTAAAATAAATATGTACACCATACACTAGGTATGTACACTAAACGATAGGTATGTACACTATACGGTGGGCGAGTACACTATACAGTAGGTATGTACACTATACAATAGGTACTTAAAATTTACAGTTGGCGTGTACACTATAGAATAGGTATTTACAAAGTTTTCCAGGTATGCACACTTTATGATAGAATGTACACTTTACGATAGGTGTGTGCACTTTACTCACTATACAACAGGTGTGTACACAATACGGTAAGTATTACAAAGTATAATTTAAATGCACACTATTCAGTAAGTATGTATACTGTATGATAGGTATGCACACTATTCAATAGGTATTTGGACTTCACAAAAGGTATGTATACTATAGGATAGGTGTGCATACTTTACTACAGGTGTGAACACTGTACGATAGGTGAGTACTCTATATATATATACTATAGGTGAGTACTTTAAAATTAGTTGAGTACGTTATACGATAGTTAAGTACACTCTGTGTGCGATAAGTGAGTACACTATACGTACGATAGGTGAGTACTCTATACGATAGTTGAGTACATTGAACGATAGTTGGGTATATTTTACAATAGGCGTGTATACTATACTAAATATGTTCACTATACGATAGGTATGTGCACTATACAATGGGGAACACACTATATGATAGATGTGTACACTATGTTATATGGACTCTAGTCACGGCAACTATTTTGAGCTGTGGCAATTTTTTAGCTTCTGCCAGAGGGTGGCCATTGCATTTTTGCTCCATTTGTAGACTGAAAGGATATAGTTTTGTCACCCAGCTTCTAAGTTTAGTGCATGGCGTGACACTGTGAGCTGCAGATTTAATTTAGAATGTTTTTCGACGATGACCAACATGGTGGTGTGAATTGTAGATTCAGAAAATGGTGGTTGTCGCAATATTAATGGTGCCATTGTGTGATTAAAATTTATCGCGTGTACAACTGCTGATCTGTTGGTGACTTCTGCTACCATCCATGATGAATTGCAATTCTAATGTCGGACTGTTTGTGTTAGCACTTCGGATGGCTACCGTATGGTTTTAATGCGTGTGTATGCAAGTGCATATG